CCTCCATCCCCAGGAAACAAGGGCGTCCCTTTGGGATTCACCCTTGCCTGGGTTACAGCATCAGTTTCCCTGTTTCTGTCTTTGATGCAAGGTGTGAACATATCACAACGTAAAGTCAGACCAGCCACTGCTCTGATCTAAATTCTCAGGACTTCTTGTTTGATGCAGGGTAAGAGTCAAGGTCTCATCTGACAGAGACCCCCTGTGTCCTCTCTGGCCTCCCCTTTGCCACTCACACCTGTTCTCTGGGCTCCAACTTCACCAGCTTCTTTGCTGTTTCCTGTGCATACCAGACACATGGCTGCTTCCAGACCTCTGTGCTTAGCTGCCCCCTCCTATGGGAACACTGTTCCCAGGGACAGTGGTGTGGTTGGCTTCTTCGTTTCCTTCCAGTCTTAATTCAAATGCCACCTCCATGAGGTAGTCCTTCTCTGAACAATCTACCTAAATAGCAGTTCCCAGCCACTGCCTACCCTCTTTCGTACTGTCTTCTCTGCACCAACTACCTGACACCTGGTCATTTTTCCCTTCCCCTAGAATGTCAGCTTCTAGAGAACAGGAACCTTGCTCACGGCAGTGTCCTCAGAGTCTGCAAAGGTGCCTAGCACATAGTAGGTGCTCAATACATATTTGTTGAATGAATGAAGGATCCACTTTCTTTTTTAAAGGGGGCAGAAAATAGAAGTTGGGGCAGCTGGTAAAAATGACTTCCCCTTTTTTTCTGACATTGTGTCTCTTTCCTAAAGGAGGAAGATTCCCTGGGACGTGGAACCACCTCTAATGCATCAACTGCCCCCAAAATGGGACCCAGATGTGGCAGAAAGCTTCCTTTAATAAAGAGCTTTCTGTGTGTGTTTTAAAAATCAAACAGAGAAATTATTTGTCATTGATATCAGCAAATAGCTCAAATGGGAGAGCATGGATTTATAGTTCAGCTGGATTAGTTAAAAGATGATTAAAGTAATCCCTTTTATATTATCAAAAAGAGCTTTTATGTGGCCAGAGTAAAAGTCCCCAGACAGAATGTTCAGTTGCACTTGGAATTTCTCTTCCCTAAGAGATAATCACATCTCAGAGATGGAAGACTCAGCCGGACATCCACTGATCAAAACACTGTGCTGGGCTACTGTAGGGAACGTGCCTGTGACATATCCTTGCTTGTGGGGATACCTGGTCCCATTAATCCCTGGGCCCAGTGTTCATTCTGAATGTCCATATTCACAGGATTGGTGGGAAAATGGCCGGAACCACGGGAGGCTGGACGAACATCTGGGAGTTGCCATTTACTAAGATGGGGAGAGCAGAGGAATTGCAGGGGGTGGCGGAGGGGAATATCAGGAGTTTGCTTTTGGCTGCGTTGAGTGGAGATGCTGAGAAGGCGGTAGGATATAAAAGAGACACTAAATTTGGAGAGACTGCAAGTGGGAGGTACCCCGTGGTAGGCACTGGGAAGCATGGGGCAGGGTCTAGTCAACAACCATTACTGGTGCCACTGAACAGGTTCCCTTGAGTCCTGGCCATGTGCTACTCTATGTCCCATGACCCTACCGGGCTACCTGGAGTTTACCACCCTCCATGGGGAAAGCTCCATCCAATTCAGTAGCTTTATGTTGGCTTCTGGCTGTGTGCAATAAGAGAACTACACAAGACAGCTTAGAATCAGTGTTAGGTCAGGCACAGCGGCTCATGCCTGTAATCCCGGCATTTTGGGAAGCCAAGGCAGGAGGATCACTTGAAGCCTTGGCAACATAGTGAGACCCTTGTCTCTACTAAAAAGAGAAAAGTTAGCTGGGTATTGTGGTGCATACCTGTAGTCCCAGCTACTCGAGAGACTGAGGTGGGAGGATCACTTGAGTCCAGGAGACTGGGGCTGCAGTGAGCTATGATTGCGCCACGGTACTTCAGCCTGGGCAACAGAGTGAGACTCCATCTCAAAAACACAAGAACAAAAGCAAAAACAAAAACAACAACAACAACAAAACCCCAATGTTATTTTACCTGTAAAACCCTTCAAAACCTTCCTGTTGCTCTTGGACGGAGACGAACCCCTGTCCTTGGCTCTTAAGGTCTCCTTGTGTCCTCGTTTTCTGCACTCTGCCTCTTCCAGTTTCTTCATCAGGTCATTCACTTGCCTGTCCCCTATTTCTGGAGTGTTCCCCCTCACTCCTCCCTGCCAGTTATCTTTCCTATCTCATCTCAAAGGTGATGTCCTCAAACAGGCCTTCCCTGAGTGGCAAACACCCCTTTAGGCATGCTCAGAGAGATTCTTCTTCTGAGGCTTACCAGAGCCACAATTAAGTACGTGATCATCTAATGAGTTTTTTAGTTTGCCTTTTTTTTGCCAGAGGCAGGGTGGTGTCTCTCTTGTACACTGCTGTTTCCTGGCTCCTGCTCAGTAACTCAACCGTTAATTCCATGAACCCAGGACCAGGTTAGATGGAAGAGGCTGTAGGGTGGTGGATTGAGAGAGGTCATTAGTGAGGGCTGGAGCCCTCTGCAAAGACCTATCTGTAAAGGACTTGACTGGGCCCTCCGTGAAGGGAGGATTTGGAAAGCAGAGGGGATGGGCATTTCAGTTGGGGAATCCATTTAAACAGAGGTGGAAAGAGCCTTGGCTTGGAATTACATTCTCAGCCCATCTCCTGAGTGTCAGGGGCCTAGTAATTTACCATCTTGGGACCTTCATCTCCCGTCTGTAAAATGAGAGGCTGGTTTACCAAGGACTGCAAATAATAGCACCATGACACTATCTCCCCATCTCATTCCCTGGCAGATATCTCTCTTCCCTGTGAGCCTGAATACAAGTTCAGAATTAGCTTTAACACAATGTTCTAGGTAGCCATTCCCAATTGATAGGAAATGGTAATTGAGATAGGCCCCATTTTGTCAGGCTTGACTTGGATGAAGATCTCTTAGATGAAGTCAGACCCCAGCTCTGATTCAGTGAACCTGTGACAGGAGGGCAGAGCCTGGGGAAGAATGCCCTAGGGAAGTAGAGACCTCAGCAGCACCAAATGCCATCAACAGAAAGGATACAAAAATGGGCTGGGCATGGTGGCTCACGCCGTAATCCCAGCACTTTGGTAGGCCGAGGTAGGCAGATCACTTGAGGTCAGGAGTTTGAGACCAGCCTGGCCAATATGGTGAAACCCCATCTCTACTAAAAATACAAAAATTAGTCGAGCATGGTGGCAGGCACCTGTAATCCCAGCTACTTGGGATGCTAAGGCAGGAGAATTGCTTGAACTTGGGAGGCAAAGTTGCAGTGAGCTGAGATGCATCACTGCACTCCAGCCTAGGCAACAGAGCAAGACTCCATCTCTAAACAAACAAACCAGAAAACCAAACGACAACAACAACAAAACAAAAAGAAGGGACACAAAAATGTTCCCATCCAGGGTGGCAAACTCAAATGCCTTAAGAGACCAGTAGATGTAGATGGTGCAGACAAGAGAAGTGGTCCCCGGGGTAACATGAGAATGTTTGCCTTGCCTAAAAGGACCCCAAATCTCTCTCCTTCATTTTGTTTTCTCCTTCCTCCTTCTTATTGTATAGTTTAGGCAAAAACAAGTTTCAGCTGAAATTTTCTTCCAGGCAGTTGGATTGTGACCTCTGAGTCCTTCCAGCTTTGTTGGAGAATCCAGATGTGGAGGAGAATGATTCTGCCTAAGGCCACACTTCAAGCCAGGCCTGTTGATTTCCAGCGTAAGGGTTCCTACCCGCAGTGTGGTCATGGAGCCTGGGAGACAGGAAGAATAGGGGTGACCAAACAGGGACAGGAGCAGAATGAGGCTTAGGTTTTCCAAAGATGTTCATTTCACTTTGGATGACTATGGCAACGAAGAGGGGTGGCCTGTCTACTGCTACTGTTAGTCATCACTCATGTGACTGCTTTTATGTATTCATTGGTTTAAATTCCCTAGATCTCCAGAAACATGTCACTTTCCACTGGGGGAAATTTGTGACATGATTAAACACACACACACACACACACACACACACACACACACACCCCTCCTCCTTTCTCAGTGTTAATCACCTTCTCCTATAATTAGCACTTAAAATGTCAAAGGAGAAGAAATTAATTAACAGGAGTATCCAGTGCAGCAAGGCTTGGGACTGATTATAAAAAGCACTTCCTTAAATATTTTGAGTACTTTTGGGAATCAGAAGCCTCCCTTCTAATTGAAAGATCCTTAACTACACCCTAAGTCCTGGCTGGTGGCCAGGGGTGCGGGGCTGAGTGAGGCGGCGTTTGGAAATCCCTTCTTCACCATCCTTGGGAGAATTCCCTCCAAACTGGGATAGGTGGCAATAGAGGTTCAGAAACAGCAAGCGTCCCAGGCTGAATCGGCGGGGGAGGAAGAGATGAACCTTTCCTGAGCTGCTACTGCGTGCCAGGAACTTTAACTCGGTATTTTGCCACAATCCTGTAAGACAACCGATACTACGATCTCCATTTTACAGATGAGGACATTGAGGCTCAGCGTGGTTGTGACTTCCCTAGGTCACGCGGCCACTGAATGAAACAGGGAAAGATTCAAACTGAGGTCTGATTCTAAAGCTTTGCTCTCTCAGGGCATCCTGGAATCCTATTCCCAATCTTCGTCTGGACTCCCAAGCCAGTCCAAACCTAAACGTCTACAGTTTTGACAGCTGAGGCAGGAGCACGGGAGGCGGAGCTGGGAGCAGCGCAGCGCCCCGCCCCAGTTCCGGCATCAGCCAATGGTGACGCGGCACCCGCACCCTTTGGCCCAATCAGCTGGAGCTCCCCGCCTCCATCCCCCACTCTTCTCCGCCCCGCCCCTCCACTTTCCCTTTGGCTCCACCGAGCTTGACCGAGCGGAAAGTCCCTTCGGTCGGCCCCGGGCTGGCAGCCATTGGAGGAAGGTCTGTCACAGGGAGGCCCAATCAGAGCCCGCTCAAGAGCGCAGTTCGGTCTCCGATTGGCTAGCGCAGCGGCTCCCCCCTCCGCCCCCGCTCCCTCCCTCTCCCCTGGGCGGTTCGGAGGCGGGGCAGGTGGGGGCGGGCCCAGGTAGCAGGTTCGGCTGCGCGGGGGCCGAGCGTCGGAGGTAAATACTAGGGCGGTGGGTGTGGGGCGCCGGGGCCGGCCCGGGACGCGGGCTTGGGAGCCGGGGCGAGGGGCAACGCCCCGCCGCCGGAGGCGAGTGAGTGAGCGGGCGGCGGGCTGCGGGCGGCTGGAGGCTGGCGGCCCGATCCCCTCTGCACCGCCGCCCGGCCTCGGGGCTCCCGGAGCCGCCGCGGCGACCGTCGGGCCCTCGGCGCCGGCCCGTTAGTTGCCCGGGCCCGAGCCGGCAGGGCCCGCGGGGTGCCGAGCCCGCTGACGTCAGCCCGGGCTTCCCCACCCCCGGGACTTCCCTACCCCCCGAGGCTTCCCGGGAGGGCTCCGAGTCCGGGGAGCGTGCGTGGTTGCCTCCGTCGGGACCCCCGGAGGAGAGAGGACTTGAGGCGGGAGCCGCGCGGGACGCAGCCCCCTTCCTCGCCCCCGCCCCATTTACAGATGGGGAGACTGAGGCACAGGCCGCTGGCGGGTCCCGACGGCCAGGGTTGGCCTTGGGAGCCCGGGGCTGTGATTCCTCCGGTCTGCGCCGCGGGGCGTAAGCACTGATCGGTTTGGGGGGTGTTGGTGGCTCCCGTCCAGGAATCTCGGTCGGGGTTCTGGCCTCGTTAATGGCGTGTTCTGCTTTTTTCTTTCAGTTTCGCCCTTTCCAGGGTGAGGATGGTTCTACACAGCCACCCGGAGTTCTTTAGTTGAAAGGTGCGCCTTGTTGTGACAGGTAATCTTTCTTTACGTTTTTCTTTTATGTTATCTATGAGTGAGGGGGGCCTCGGGGGAGGAAGTCATAAAATCTTGAGGAAGATGCTGTTGAGTTTGGTTCTCAGCTGGGTCAGCTGCCCGGTTATTCATGTACTTGGCATCATTTTTCTGCCACCCCTTGGCATTGACATGTTTTAGGATAGTTGTCGTCTTCCAGCCACCAAGCCTGTGGCCTTGCAATCTTCCAGCCTCCATCATCCCTACCACCGTCCTCTCCCCAGTTTTTCCTGGAAAGTTGTATCCTTAGCTCAGCTAAGGAGCACGCCTACCTAGCCTTTGAATTCGGGCTAATTAGGGATCTTAATAATATTGTTCATTTTGCAATCATCTGCTCTCAGAGAGGCACCCAAGCCTTGAGAGGGTGTTCCTTCGATTGTTGGCTTTCTACACACCCCCTCATGCCCCAAGTAGATTGAATGGCCTTAAGAATTTAGCCTCCCATTCCCCATTGAGCAGTGGGTGGATTTGAACTAGAACAATTTTAGGAGAAATGATTTGCTGGAAATTCTTATTGAAGTTCATGTACTCTGAATGTCGAGAACACCCAGAACATTCTCTAATATTCTGCGGCAAAATTTTATAGTACTCTTGCAAATAAATCTGCCTTTGGGTGGTAACTTTTGTGAGAAGCAGATAAGGCTTGTTATATAAAGCAACAACAAACATTAAGCACCAATGATTTTTGTAGTCTGGCTCACGTAAATTGTGGTTTTGTTTGATTTAAGGAAGTCTTCAACACAAGGACAAAGGAATAATTATGCTCTTTATCAAACTATAGTATTTTGTTCCTAATTTTCACACTCTGATCTTAGTTTTATAATTTTTTTACATTGGTTGTAGAGAATTTATAAGCATCATACATGCTAATGAGGGTACAGTGTCAAATAAACCTCAGAACAACTTGGTTTTATAATTGTGAAATTTTCCATATTTGTTTCTTCTTAGGTGTATAACAATGAAGTGGTTTACCATGACTTTATTTTATCCAGAAAATTAGTGAAGTTTCAGGCAAAAATGATTAAATACTCCCAATTCCTGAGTCTTTTTCTTTTCTCTTTCTTTGTTTAATCCCTGAAACAGAAGGAGGAAATGCAATTTTGTTTTCACTGTTACCATTTGTGTCCTTCATTCATTTCTCCGTATTCAGTGCCTAGCATATGCCAGGCTCTAGTGTGGGCACTGGATAATATAAAAATGAAGGACTTGGAGAATTCACAGTTTGGCAGTAGAGTGGCTATGTTTAACATTAGAGAGACAGCAATATTCCTGGTTCTGGTGGGAACATGCAGATGTGGGAGCCAGGCTTTTTTTTTTTTTTTCTTTTAACTGTATAAATCCCACTTATATTAGGGACTGTGTACTTGCAGCACAAGTTAGTCATTGAGGAAAGCTAAAACTGACTCAGTCTCTTTTCTGGCCGTGGAATCTCTGTATCCCTATTCTTTAGCTGTTTAGGAATATAACAACTTTGTCTTTTAGTGAGAGGTTTTCTTTTTTAAAAGGGCAATCATTCTAGCTATCTGGAAGCTTTTGGAAAAAGGCCCACATGTCTTCTTTCCTTGGTGATCACGCTGACCTTCCTACCTCTTTGCCATTTATAATTAGGGACAGAGTTAAGTATTGTGATTTTTATTCTAATTTAGATAGCTTCCTGTGGTTTTCAAAACAAGCAGAATATCTCAGGAGATGGAAAAAGCTCTTGCATTGGCTCTGTCTTTGTGAGATCCTTATGAACGATATAACCTGATAACTTGAGAATCAGAAACACACTGTATCTTCTGGATAAGTTAACCATTGTCAGTTTTCTGTAGCTACTGATGTTCATTTGTACTATATGTTGCCTTTCAGAATGTGGTAATTGTAATCTTTAACATTTTCGTGTAAAACTTATTTCATGATCATCTTTCCATTGCCTTCATGGAAAATTGATAAATATTTGTGCCTTCCAACCCACATCATGGTTTAATGACTTTATCTTAATACAATTAAGTTCCCTTTTACTCAGACTCCAGACTCTCAGCAAGCTCAAATAACCAGAACTGTTTTCAAATCTATGTGACCCTGAACTGCTCTTCTTTAATGTCCTCAAAGGAAAGGCCTTCTGTTCAACACAGCTTTAGGGTTAAACATATTATTGTCTTTCAACTCTTTGGTAATTTTCATTCAGTATTTATTACTAGGATATACATAATCACACAGTTATCCAGCCTGAAGTAAGATAGTATTTAGATGAGTCATTTGTGATATACTCGCTTAAAGTGATTCAACCTGCAAAGTAGTAAGAGAATACAAATGAAAATTTCTCCCTTCACACTGACCCCTTGCCCCCACCTGCCCTACGGTGACTTTGAGTTTAGCTTCTTTTCCTCCGGTTGTCTTACTGTTAGGCAGAAGCTGAGTGAATGTAGAATGTAGATTGGTGTGTGTGTGTGTGTGTGTGTGTGTGTGTGTGTGTGTGTGTGTTTGAGATAAGGTCGTGCTCTGTCACTCAGGTTGGAGTGCAGTGGTGTGGCCATAACTCACTTCAGCCTGGACCTCCTGGGCTCTAGTGATCCTCCCATCCCCCTAAGTAGCTGGGACCACATGCCTGTACACACCACAACACCTGGCTAATTTTCTCTTCCTTTTTTTTTTTTTTTTCTTTTTGGGACAGGCTCTCATTCTGTCATTCAGACTGGACTGCAGTAGCACTATCACAGCTCAGCAAAGCCTTGAACTCTGGGGCTTAAGGGATCCTTCCACCTCAGCCTTCAGAATGCTAGGATTATAGGAGTGAGCCACTGTGCCTAGCCCAGATGATGTAGTTTTTAGTATTTAACTCTGTGCTGAAAGCATAAAAAATACCAAACTAACAAACCAACCTTCTAGATTGATAAATAACTCATTTACAATGTGATTTAGATCTTTCCCTTCATATTGTGTTGAGTCACTTTTTAATGCTTGGGGTACCTAAGACTTTTTAACTATTTCACAACTGTGCATATCCCAGTGAAAGCAGAATGTTGGTGTTATATTCACTTTTACAGTGGGGAGAAATGTATGTTAGTATATTTCTATTGTAATAGTGGTATTTTGAGTACATAAAATAAGTATATATATATATATGGTGTGTGTGTGTGTGTGTGTGTGTGTGTGTGAAAGAGAGAGTGAGAGAGAGAGAGAGAACGAGAGAGAGAGAAAGAGGGTCTTGCTTTTTTACCCAGGTTGAAGTGCAGTTGTGCAATCATGGCTTGCTGCAGCCCCACCCTCTAGGGCTCAAGCCATCCTCCCACCTCACCCTCCCAAGTAGCTGGGACTACAGGCACACATCATCACACCTGGCTAACTTTTGTACTTTTTGTAGAGATGGGGTTTCACTATGTTGCACAGGCTGGTCTTGAACTCCTGGGCTCAAGCAGTCCACCCACCTTGGCTTCCCAAATTGCTGGGGATTCCAGGCACGAGCTACCTCACTGCTGAGAATATTAATTGATAATTTAGTTTATTGCCTTGTCTATCTCTAGATTCAAGCCATCAAGTTTCCCATTCAACTTTTTCTATCAGTTGCAATGAAGAGAATCAATTTTTAATATGATAGTTTCAAACCTGTTCTTAATGTGCTCTTTCTGAAAGAGGAGAGGCTGCATCCTTTATTTTTGGATAATGCTTCTTAAATATTTGATAACTTGCACAGTGACTGTTCCAGCTGTCTGCCATGACCCATCCTGTTACTAAGTCTAAGCTCATTTCCACTTGTACTGATGAAAGGAAAAAGTTTGCCACTCCTTGTGGAGTTTACTTTAAAATATGGTACTTGAAAGCTGTTGTTTATTGCCCTCAAACGTTTGTATAAACCTAGCAGTTGTATCAATTTTTACTGTGGATTCTCCCCCTTAAATGATTTCAGACAGCAAGTTTATAATCAAATTTATCTAAAATGGTGTCCTAATGCATTACATTTAGTAATTCAGTTTTGTCTTAATAATAGGTTATTAGCACTAATGATTTTTATTTTAAATTGTGACATGAATTGTTAAGCTAGAGGACCAATAGTATAGGAGCTGTTGGTATATAAACAATTATTAAGATTCAAGGAAGTTTCTGATTGTAATATTTGAAGACATTATTTTTAGGCATTTAAAAAAAAGAATTTCTTTTCAAAATAGAATTGCTTTACCTTTATCAAAAAATGTTTTGGCCCAAAAAATCTAAACGTATTTCAAAGAGAACCAAAAACAACAGCTCGTTTTTTTGGCAGTTGCTTTTTGACTATCTTAACCTTCTGGGAGTGACCAAAATCTCTTTTCAATAGAGCCCACATGTCCTTTACTCCTGAAGACCCTTTCTGGATGTTTGCATTCCTCTTTTCACTATTGTGGCTTTGTTTTTTCAAACGCACAAACATATTTCACGACCTGGCTTCTCAGAACTCATTCAAAGCAGTAAGTTGGAAAGCAACAAGGCCGTAAAAGGAGTCAAATGCGTATGGCAGGAAACCACAGAAAATGGCTGATTGCATGGGAAAACTCTAGACAGTAGATCTGTAGAGAACATTTGTGAGCTCAGGACGCATAAGGTACAGCCTTTAACAAAATAACAAAGAGCCTTGCAGATCAAGAGTGAGGCAAAATAATTTACAGTCATAATGGTAAATCAATGATCAAGAAAAAAATAAGGACATTTTCTTGTGGAAAGTGTTGACATGTTAAAAGCATTTTGGTCAAAAAGAACAAACACTTCATTTTGGACCTTTAAAGGAATAGAACCAAATTGAGGGTTTGGGTAGCTGTTTGGGCAGCCCTTATGAGTTTTGTTTATATAGAGCCAAGATAGATGTTTCCACAGGTGTCTTATATAAGTAGCAAATATAAATTGATCCCATTCTTGCTGAAGTAGACAGTGCCCTCAAGTGGAATCAAAACAAACACACAACAAAGAAGAAGGAAAAAAGAGAACACCCTTAATGCTGCCTCTGCCTTTACCCTCACTGAGTGCTACGGAGATATTTCAGTAATGTTGGTGGAAAGAGGGCGCCTAACCTGTAGTCTGTCTTGGCCAAACCACATGTCTCCTGCTGGCTTGTAGAGGGAGAGACTTTTAAAAACCCTACTATTATGGAATATTTCATTATCTAACAATGTTTTCTAAAAGAAATGTTCCTCTGTATAGATTTGCTAGGTTGTTTGATTATTAAGTGATTAAACCTAAAATTTGGTTTTTTCATTTTAGGAGTATTTATTTTTTAATTGCTAGAATAAAATAAATATGATAGTGCTATCAATTACAGCCATTACCCAGAATAATGGAAATGGATACCTCTAGCTCAAGGAAGGATGAAATAAGTATTGTATTTGGAAACCAGGTAGCCACATTCTTATGACAGGAAACCTAGGAATTAATTCAGCAAAAAATTAATTAAAATAATGAAGTAAAGTCTCAGTTTGAATTAATGAAATTGTGTAATTTTTAAATCATCAGTTCAAATAGGTTTGAGAATGAGACTACTTCATTGGAAAGATTATTATTCTGGTAAAAATTTTGAATTAGGACCAGGTACAGTTGCTCATGACTGTAATCCTAGAACCTTGAAGGCCGAGGTGGGAGGATCACTTAACCCAGGAGTTTGAAGCTGCAGTGAGCTGTGATCCCACCACTGTACTCAAGCCTGGGTGACAGAGTGAGACCCTGTTTCAAAAATAAATAAATAAATAAATAAATAAATAAATAAAACAAATGAAAATTTGAAGCTGAAAAAGAAGTCATAGAAATAAATTATAATGCAGTTATATCATGATATTCCCTTGCTATTAGTAGATGTTTTGATGCTACAAAATTGATTTTAAAAATATCTTTAATATAATCACATTATAATTTCTGATATTTGTGATTTGAGAAATTAGTTGTTAGTTATGATTAATGTGATGAACATTGCCCATCTATGGACAAAATATGTAAAATGAAGTTGAGTCAGAGGGAAAATGTTCCATTATCAAAATATGGCCATATCATAGGTATCATTTACAGGCATGAGCCACAGAGCCCAGCCCCAAAAGCTACCTTTTTTTTTTTTTATTGTACTTTAAGTTCTGGGGTACATGTGCAGATCGTGCAGGATTGTTACATAGGTATACACATGCCATGGTGGTTTGCTGCATCCATCCCCCTGTCATCAACGTTAGGTATTTCTCCTAATGTTAGCCCTCCCCAGTCCCACCTGACCCCTGCTATCTCTCCCCTAGCCCCTCCAACAGGCCCTGGTATGTGATGTTCCCCTCCCTGTGTCCATGTGTTCTCATTGTTCAGCACCCACTTACGAGTGAGAACACGTGGTATTTAGTTTTCTGTTCTTGTGTCAGTTTGCTGAGAATGATGGTTTTCAGCTTCATCCATGTCCCTGCAAAGGACATGAACTCATCCTTTTTTATGGCTGCATAGTATTCCATGGTGTATATGTGCCACATTTTCTTTATCCAGGAACCAACCCAAATGCCCAAATGCTACTTTTTGAAGTTTGTTAGTGGCTGAATATGGGCCGGGCCTGGTGGCTTATGACTGTAATCCCAGCACGTTGGGAGGCCAGGAGTTCAAGACCAGCTTAGCCAACATAGTGACACCCTGTCTCTACAAAAAAATAAAAAGCTTAGCTGGGTGTGGTGACATGTGCCTATAATCTCAGCTGCTCAGGAGGCTGAGGCAGGAGGATCCCTTGAGCCTGGGATGTAAAGGCTGCAGTTAGCCATGATTGTGTCACTGCGGTCCTGCCTGGGCAACAAGAGTGAGACCCCATCTTAAAATAAACAAATATATACAAATAAATTTAAAAACATAGAATATAAGGGTATGTATAAGGGTAACCTTTAAAAGTTTTTACTAGAATCTGATTGTATATGGTTCTTGGAAGCAAACATTATTGTGTTGTCTTTGAAAGTATTTACAATTGGATTTCATTAATTAAATATGCACAGTTTCAGTAGATAAAAATAATACGCTGTATGGATTTTAGCCCTTTTAGATATTTTTTGGAAATATTTTATTTGTGTGTATGTGTTTACTGGTTAAATGAAAAATTTAAAAGTCTTTAACCTTAATTTTAAGTCATGTAGAATGAAGTCTAAAATGTATTTTTGCCTCTTCACCAGGCGTTTTGTTATGCTTTCTTTTTTACAGCATGGGCACCACATTGCTGAAAACATGCTTTGGGACTTCCACTGAATTTATCTTTTGTGGTTTTATGACAAAGTTATTAGTAGTTTCCTTTTTTTGACTTAGTATTTTGAAGTTAATATCACAATGAGTTCAGGCTTATGGAGCCAAGAAAAAGTTACCTCGCCCTACTGGGAAGAGCGGATTTTTTATTTGCTTCTTCAAGAGTGCAGCGTTACAGACAAACAAACACAAAAGCTCCTTAAAGTACCGAAGGGAAGTATAGGACAGTATGTTCAAGATCGTTCTGTGGGGCATTCAAGGATTCCTTCTGCAAAAGGCAAGAAAAATCAGATTGGATTGAAAATTCTAGAGCAACCTCATGCAGTTCTGTTTGTTGATGAAAAGGATGTTGTAGAGATAAATGAAAAGTTCACAGAGTTACTTTTGGCAATTACCAATTGTGAGGAGAGGTTCAGCCTGTTTAAAAACAGAAGCAGACTAAGTAAAGGCCTCCAAATAGACGTGGGCTGCCCTGTGAAAGTACAGCTGAGATCTGGGGAAGAAAAATTTCCTGGAGTTGTGCGCTTCAGAGGACCTCTGTTAGCAGAGAGGACAGTGTCGGGAATATTCTTTGGAGTTGAATTGCTGGTAAGTTTGGTAAACCACTTTAGTGGTGTGTGTGTTTGTGTTTGTGTGTCTGTGTGTATTTGTATGCACATATGTATTTTTCTCCTTTAAATACAAAACGAATTTTCCCGAGAGTCTTCTGTAATTTTTAATATTCATCATCCTTGCTGATGAATCCATGTAATGGATGAATCCATAATCCAAAACTTGCTTATAGTTGTCCCTGATGATATGTGTTTATGTCTTGGTGTTTCATAAACACCTTGGAGTTTATGTCTGTTGGAAAGAGCCCCAAGAACTCTGTGATACATTTCCAGGCTTAATATTCATTCTCAAGGACTTAAATGTCAATTATATTTTGACATTTTTGCAAATAGAATTGCATGCCTTCTTTGCTTCTTGATTTAATTTTTTTTTTAAAGACATGATTGTAAAAAATTGGGACTTTGAATCCCAGTTAAGCCATTTACTGGCCGGGTTGCCAGATTACTTAACAAGGCTACTTAACTTCTCTAAGTCTGCATCCTTACCTGCACAATGGTGTTGGTAATATATGATTTGTAGTGTTTTTGTGGTACATTGACACAGGATTTAGCACAGCGGCTGGCTTAATGAATGGAGCTAGGATTACTGCTATTTTAAAGTAACATTTTCTTTTTATAACCAAATTAATGTTAGAATTACAACATGGAATTCGGCCTAGCTTCCTCACAATAGAGTTATGATTTGAAATTATCAGATAATTTTATTTCAGCTTCAGATACAGCTCTTTCTTATTTTTTAAATACCCTAAATCCAACAGAAACTGCTAATAACTATATTTCTTATATATGAATCATTTAGAATCTTCCCAGAGTGATTTTCCTGCAATCTCTAAAGCGAACCCTTTTTCTTATGAATCATCTTTCTATATCTATTTTTTCCCCCCCCTCTTAAAAACTAGGAAGAAGGTCGTGGCCAAGGTTTCACTGATGGGGTGTATCAAGGGAAACAGCTTTTTCAGTGTGATGAAGATTGTGGTGTGTTTGTTGCATTGGACAAGTTGGAACTCATAGAAGACGATGATACTGCGTTGGAAAGTGATTATGCAGGTCCAGTGGACACGATGCAGGTCGAACTTCCTCCTTTGGAAATAAACTCCAGAGTTTCTTTGAAGGTTGGAAAAACAATAGAATCTGGAACAGTTATATTCTGTGATGTTTTGCCAGGAAAAGAAAGCTTAGGATATTTTGTTGGTGTGGACATGGTAAGAAAATTTTGTATTAAATATCTTTGTGAATATATGTATTAGTTTTAGTACCAATTTACTTGCAAATTGAACACTTTGAATATTCAAAATGATCTAATTTGGAGTACTTTAAAGAGCATGTTCTAATTTATCTTTGGTAAAGGAGCACTGAAATAGAACAGGGGTCTACATAGAGAATTACATTTACTTTTTTCCAATTTGAATAAACTAGAATAATGTTCTCAATCTTTAAATCTGCCTTATTGTAGCTGACCAATACACAAAACAAAACAAAACAAAACCCAAATATATTACATGATGTCTTATTTTTCTTTATTTTGAAAAAGTTTTTGGGGGTAACCTGTGTTTTTTAATAATATTCTACACAATTTGATTGGCTGATCTGATTTTAATAAGTAGTGTAAAAATCATTTATAGAAAATATCTGGGTAGAGGAAAACCATATTGATTTTGAGTAATAGACAATTAGAATATTCTCATAGGATACCATTCATTTGAAAACCGTTTTTTAATTGTGGTAAAATATACATAATATAAAATTTACCATTTTAAGCATTTTTAAGTGTGCGTGCAGTAGCATTAAATATATTCACATTGTTGTACTGTCACCTCTATTCATCTCTGGAACTTTTTCATCATCCCAAACTGAAACCCTGTGCCTATTAAAGAGTAACTGCCCACTTTCCCCAGCCTCTGCTAACCACAGTTTCTTCTGCTTTCTGTATTGGAGAATTTGCTTGTTCTAGGTTCCTCGTAAGAGTGGAATCTTAGAACGTTTGACCTAAGTTTGTGTCACTTATTTTTAATGTTTCCTTACAATCATACTTGTTAATAATGGATCCATTCCAGTGTGGCGAGTTAAATAATACCTGCGGCATTGAGAGAATGAGAAGAAAAAGGCTGGACCATTTTTATCACACATTGAACATATGGGCAAGACTTCGTTAGGTATAAAAAAGGAAATTCGTACGGAATTATTGAGTAGTAGAATGAGTTAGGAGGGGACGTGAGTAGTAGTCTCTTACACTCACGATGGGGATGTTTAGTCATCATTTTTATCCATTCAGGTAGACCTTTTGATTGTTGGTAAGGTAAAGTTCTAACGTAACGTTTCCTGTGCTTGCAATTCTAGGAAATTCTATTTGTTACTCATTGGTTAGTTACTAAACATTTACTCTTAATATGTGAAAAGTTAGAACCAGAGTAAAACATATATGCTCCTCAGGATAGCTGACAATAAAGCACTTCTTTTAACCAATATTCTTTAAATATTAATTCAGTATTTATTTCAAGGAGAATTGTGGCCTGCATGGAGGGAATATTGGAGAAGGTGGGCCACTGGTTATCGGGGTTGGTCTCCCCTTGCTTCAGGTTCTTGGGCCTCAAATTTGGCAGAAGCTGTTTAGGGTTTAGGCCTTGCCGTCAGATGGCGGTCTGGGGTCAGTTTGTTTATCCGGGTCAGGCTACCTAGAGGTTTGCCCTCACAGCTTCTCTCCCTGCCTCCATCTGTCCCATAGTTGACTTGTGCAGACATTCGTTCCCAACATTTCTATTATACTCCTTGAGAAGAAAGTGCTGGCAGATGCTAGAACTTCTTTCTTTATCTCCTTTCCCTTCTATTCATGTTCTATTTCCAGGGACATTTTAGCATGCCATGCACATCGGTGCCCAGGGCAGTTGTCTGACTGGCGCATCTACTGATATAGTTCCCTGAACAGCACAGTGCCAATTGGTGCTATATTAGAATATCAAATAATTAGATATAAACATCTCCATCCTGGAGAGGATTCCCGTATGTCCATAAAATGTCAAAGGAACAAGTAGAAAATAGACTTCTTTTGTAAAGAAAGGCATACAGAAGTTCAGAACGACCATTTAAGTGCTCAGGGAGTATGAAGAGCCTAGGACTAGTTAGGGGCAGGTTTCTGGGTGAAACAATATATTATTAATGAATCTTCCTATGCAAAATGTTGTCTTTTTAAACCTCAAATGGGTGTTATTCCATAGGCCAGTATTTATTGTTCAGTAAAATATGAAAAACGCTTTTGATTCTTTGCTTATGTAGGGGTTTACTATAACTTGATTATTCTTGGATCTCATTTTCCTGAAGAATAAAATGAACAAACAAACGAAAAAAGCAAAGCCTTATTACTATGGCAACTATTCCTAATATATTCTTTCTTTCCTTTAGGTAAAATTGTTAACATTTACCAATGTAAAATATTTTGGAGGATTCTTTATGGAAAATATAGACTTTCACATTTACATTTCATTGAGGACAATTTTAATGTTTATTTAATTTCTAGGATAACCCTATTGGCAACTGGGATGGGAGATTCGATGGAGTACAGCTTTGCAGTTTTGCGTGTGTTGAAAGTACAATTCTATTGCACATCAATGATATCATCCCAGGTAGGTTTTCTTTATGTTTTATACATTTATAAGGCAAGTGTTTTTGAAAAGTTTTTTTTTTTTTTTTTTTTTTTTTTTTTTTTTTTTTTTTTTTTTGTGACGGAGTTTCGCTCTTGTTACCCAGGCTGGAGTGCAATGGCGCGATCTCGGCTCACCGCAACCTCCGCCCCCTGGGTTCAGGCAATTCTCCTGTCTCAGCCTCCTGAGTAGCTGGGATTACAGGCACGCGCCACCGTGCCCAGCTAATTTTTTGTATTTTTAGTAGAGACGGGGTTTCACCATGTTGACCAGGATGGTCTCGATCTCTCGACCTCGTGATCCACCCGCCTCGGCCTCCCAAAGTGCTGGGATTACAGGCTTGAGCCACCGTGCCCGGCCTTGAAAAGTTTTTTATTTTTTTATTTCAATAGGTTTTTGGGGAATAGGTGCTGTTTGGCTACATTAATCTTTAATGGTGATTTCTGAGAGTTTGGCACACCCATCACCTGAGAAGTGTGCACTGTACCCAGTGTGTAGTCTTTTACCCCTTGCTACCCCCCGTTCTTTCCCCCCAAAGTCCCCAAAGTCCAGTGAATCATTCTTATGCCTTTGCATCCTCATAGCTTAGCTCCTACATATGAGCGAGAACATACAGTGTGTGGTTTTCCATTCCTGAATTGTTATACTTCACTTGGAATAACAGCCTCCAGTTCCATCCAGGTTGTTGTGAATGCCATTATTTTGTTCCTTTTTATGGCTGAGTAGTATTCCTTGGTATCTGTATCTACCTCATTTTCTTTATCCACTTGTTGATTGATGGGCATTTGGGAGGGTTCCGTATTTTTGCAATTGCAAATTGTGCTGCTGTAAATGTGCGTGTGCAAGTGTCTTTTTCCTATAATAACTTCTTTTCCTTTGGATAGATTCCTAGTAATGGGATTGCTGGATCAAATAGTAGAGCTACTTTTATTCTTTAAGGAATCTCCACACTGTTTTCCATAGTGGTCATACTAGTTTATATTCCCACCAACAGTGTATAAGTGTTACCTTTTCACCACACCCACGCCAACATGTTTTATTTTTTTTATTTTTTGATTATGGCCATTCTTGCAGGAGTGAGGTGGTATCACAGGGTGGTTTTGATTTGCGTTTTCCTGATATTGGTGATGCTGAGCCGTTTCCCATGTGCTTTTTGGGCATTTGTATATCTTCTTTTGAGAATTGTCTAAAAGTGGGCTAATGTCCTAAGCCTATTTTTTTATGGGATTGTTTGTTTTATTCTTGCTGATTTTTTGAGTTCTTTGTAGATTCTGGATATTAGTCCTTTGTAGGATGTATAGATTATGAAGATTTTCTCCCACTCTGCTGATTATTTCTTTTGCTTTGCAGAAGCCTTTTAATTTAATTCTCATCTATTTATCATTTTTGTTACATTTGCTTTCAGGTTCTTGGTCATGAAGTCTTTGCCTAAGCCAGTCTCTAGAAGGGTTTTTCCAGTGTTATCTTCTAGAATCTTCATGGTTTTAGGTCTTAGATATAAGTCTTTGATTCATCTATAAGGCAAATTTTCTAATATATGTTTTGTTTTGAGAACATAAATATGAGCTTCAAGATGTATTTTAGAACTTGACTTTTATATTATGAAATTGTTATTAAATAGTATATATCCTTTGTTGCCCTCAAATGAAAATAATCAAGATTTTTGTTTCCAGAAGTATGTAAGAGTGGCATTCACATGTTTTCATTCACTTTTCCATCGCCTATCCATTCTAAGGGTGGGGGAAAGCCCTTCCTGGCAATTAGAAGGATCGGAAAATGTAATAAACTGCTACCTGAGTAAGAGCTTGTTTAAACTAGAAGCTTTTACATAGAAATTGTTCATCTAATCTAATCTAAGGTACGGTGGAGAAGATTCTTGCTGGATGACCTGTGAGATCCCTTGTAGTTTTGAAAAGGTGTGATTAATCAGGGATCAGGACGCTAGTCAGAAATAGATTATTCAACTTTACATTTAGAAGAAGTATCAAGCAATCTTTTATTTTGCCTCAAACAAGCAGCACCTAGTGTCTGCTGTCAGGTAATCGACAATTTCTGTTGATAGCAACATCAACAGTTACATTGACCTGCTGTTAGGGCAACTCTCTGTGATACAGGCTAGTGCAATAAAGCCAACAGTGGCAGTCAGAGATGGTGATTCTCGTTGAGCATTATGCAACTGTGATTAAAATGTCAGAAGGCCTGCAGGCAGACTGTAGCCAGGAATGTACTAGGCCCTGAGTTAATTACTTATACTTTTTTACATTCATAACAAACTTATAATATAGGTCTTTATGATCCCCATTTTGCTGATAAAAAGCTGAGGCTCAGATGGACAAAAATTGCCAATATCAGAGGGAAAATTGCCAATATCAAACTTTGCTTCCACGTGTGATTCTTTATAATGCGTTTTAATATTAACACTAGTATACTCTCACTGTTGTTTTGAATTTTCCTATTCTATATTGTTTTCAAAATAGTTGTCTTCTTGATAGTTTTGCATTTTCACATTTAAGTGTTTCACTTAGATTTGGTTTTGTACAGGATATGAAATATGGGTACAGATATCCAATTTGACCTTCCATGCTTGCTGTGTATAAATCAAGTTTCCAGACGTATACGTGTGGATCTTTCTGAGCCCTGTTGTTTTCCTACACTAAAGCCTATCCATAGCGTTAGAAGTCTTGGTAGCTGTGAGAATACCTTTCCATTGTTCTTTTTCATGATGAATGTCTTGGCTATTCTTAACCCTTGGACTTTGTTGTAAATTTAAGTAGCAGCTTCTCAAATACTGTAAAAGAGTTCTGTTAGGATTTTGGAATTGCAGTTAATCTGTAGAACAACTGGAGGAGAATTGACATTTCTATGATATAAAACTTCTAGTACATGAACATTGTATAGCCTTTCATTTATTTTTCTTTTAGTAAAATTTTATAATTTTCTCCATGAAGAGCTTACATGCCTTTTGATACATTGTAAAGTAAAGCATATTTTCTAACAGTGTTGTACTGATGTGGAAATACAATTGTATTTTTTTTTTTTTTTTTTTTAGAAAACAGCTTTACTGAGATGTAATTTATAATTCACTCAGAATATACAAATCAATGCATTTTAGTGCATTTACAGATATGTGCAATTGTCAAGACAATTTTAGAACATTTTCATCACCTCAAAAAGAAATGCTGTACCCCTTAGTGATCACTCCCCAAACCCTTCATCCTGGTTAGTCATAAGTAACCACCAGTCTACTTTCTGTTTCTGTATGTTTGCCTTTTCTGGACATTTCATTTAAATGGAATCACATTATATGTGGTCTTTTCTGATTGACTTTTTTCACTTAGCATGTTTTCAAGGTTCCTCCATATTGCAGCATATGTCAGAATTTCCTTTCTTCCTAAGGCAGAATAATATCCCATTGTATGGATACATCACATTTTGTTTATTCATTAGTAGAGAGATTTGGGTTTTTTTCACCTTTTGGCTGCAATGAATAATGTTGCCAAAAACATGCATGTACAAGTTGTTGTTTGGACATATGCTTTCGTTTCTCTTGGGTTTATATCTGGGAGTGGAATTGCTGGGTCATATGATAACTCCATGTTTAATCATTTGTGGAACTGCCAGACTATTTCTCAAAGCAGCCACACCATTTTACATTCCTACTAGCAGTGTATAAGGGTTTCGATTTCTTTGTCCTTGTCAATACTTGTTATTATCTGACTTTTGATTCTAGCCATCCTAGTGGGAATGAAGTCAATTTCAATTGACTTTTGTGTACTAATTTTTGTTAAAAACAGTCTTACTAAAATATCTTATTCACAGTTTATCTGTGGATTACTTTAAAAATATTCAGTCATTGTAGTTTGCAGATAATAGTAGTTTTGCATCTTTTTTTGAATTATTTTTAAAAAATGGTTTCTTGCTGTCCTAGCTAGTACCTTTAAATACAATATTGAATAGAAGTAGTGATGGAAAGCATCTTGGCCTTTTTTCCTGACCTTAAAGAAAATGCTTTTAACATTTCATTATTAAGTGTGATGTTTGCTATAGAGTTTTATTGTTGTATTGTCATTTATCAGGTTAGAGAGTTACCTACTGTTCCTAGTTTTCTAACAGTTTTATCATGAATTAATGTTGAATTTTATCAACCCCTATTCTCTATTGAGATTATCCTATTGTCTTTCAATCTGCTAATTTTCTAATACTGAATCAACCTTACATCCCTACTATAAACCTAATCTCCTCATGATTCATGTTTTTCTTGGTCCAGTTTGCTAGTATTTGCATGCTATTTTAAAAACCTCTGTTTATTATTATTTTTTTAATTGCATTTTAGGTTTTGGGGTACATGTGATGAACATACAAGATTGTTGCATAGGTACACACATGGCAGTGTGGTTTGCTGCCTTCCGTCCCCTCACCTGTATCTGTCATTTCTCCCCATGCTATCTCCTCCCACCTCCCCACCCCCCCACCCCTCCCCCATTTCCCCCCAACGGACCCCAGTGTGTAGTGCTCCCCTCCCTGTGTCCATGTGTTCTCATTGTTCAACACCCGCCTATGAGTGAGAATATACGGTGTTTGATTTTCTGCTCTTGTGTCAGTTTGCCGAGAATGATGGTTTCCAGGTTCATCCATGTCCCTACAAAGGACGTGAACTCATCGTTTTTGATGGCTGCATAATATTCCATGGTGTATATGTACCACATTTTCCCTATCCAGTCTATCATCGTTGGGCATTTGGGTTGGTTCCAGGTCTTTGCTATTGTAAACAGTGCTGCAATGAACATTCGTGTGCACGTGTCCTTGTAGTAGAATGATTTATAATCCTTTGGATATATACCCAGTAATGGGATTGCTGGGTCAAATGGGATTTCTATTTTTAGGTCCTTGAGGAATCACCACACTGTCTTCCACAATGGTTGAATTAATTTACATTCCCACCAACAGTGTAAAAGTGTTCCTATTTCTCCACATCCCCTCCA